TTCTTGCTTGTTCTTCTTTTGCCTTTGCGTTTGCAACGACAATCTTTGACCCAATGTCCCTCTTTGTCACAAATGTAACACTTGCCATTAAACTTGTACTTCTTAGTTTCCCCTCCTTTAGATAGCATTTTCTTCTGCCATCTTTTAAAATCAGTTCCTAAGAACTTCTCTGGTTTTTCACCATGATTGACTGGTACAGTCACAATAGAAGGAAGGGTTGGCGCAGTTGCAGCCACCATACCAGTACTGGTTTGAGTATTAGTTTGACCAATTTCAGTAGCCATGAATTCTAAATTATAAAACAAAATTATAATTAGAATTTTATACTACACAGAAAATTTCAACCAAAACCACATAATTAAATTCTGTTAAAATAAAAGAAACAAGAATGGTAACTTTTATTTTCAATTAATTTGAAAATAAAATAAAATTTTATTTAACCAAATTAATTCCACACAGAAAATTAAATTTTTGTAACACTTCAATAATTAAAATACTAAAACAAAATTTTAATTAAGGAACATTCAAAAATTATTTCTGAAAACTAAAATTAATTTCTAACAAACTTCACAAATAAATATTCTGAATTGTTAATGACACCAGTATATTACTACTAATTGTCAAAGAAAATAAACAGAATATTACTACTATTTTTTTTTTCCAACCAAAATATTATTTTGTAAAATCACAGAAAATAATTTTCGTAAGAAGAAGAAAGAAAAAGGAGACAAACGAAAAATTCTGTAAACAGAATAATTCGAATATGTCTTAAGATTGTTGGAACAATCTTCTGTGTAAAATAAATAAATTGAAACAAATTAAACAAATAGAAATAAATTACTTACCGAATTTATTTTACTGAACCGAGTAAATAATTAAAAGATCAAGTCGAGTGTGTGACACTCTGTTCTTAAGACAGATTCGCCCCGCTACGGTGCTTACGGACAAATGGCGTCTATCTCTTAAGATAAAATGATCTTCACAAATTGTAGTAATACTCCAAACAATTTGTACGACAAAGAAAACCTGTGATCTATACTCTCAAAGTGTTCCCTAAAATTTAATATGAAGAATTATGCAAAGAAAGAGCAAAATAGACTGCAAAAATGAATTTTTCAGATTGTTTTCAAATGCCTAAGACTGCTGAAATGGTTTGTATTTATAGGCAAATTAATCTATCCGAACAGGTGCTGTTTTTGAACTGAACAGGTGCAAAACCCTTGAACAGATGCAGTTTGAAAAACTAGACAGATCTATTGGTAACTGCTCGACAGATTTGAGTCTGTCTAAGCAGTTTTATAACTGTAAAACAGTTTGAACCTATGTGGAATTCGGATCTGAAAAGAGGCACAAAATTTGAATTTGAATACATTGGCGCAAAATTTAAATTAATTTTTCCCGTAAGAATTTTTTTTTTTTTTTGGAAAAAATTCAAATAAATTTTGTCCAAAAAATTAATATAAGAACCGATTCGACCCACAACCCACACCCACACCCGCGCCTGGCATGGCTCGGCCGGCCGGACGGCGGTGGCCCCGGCGATTTGAGCCAAGGTTCCATTTGTCCATAACTCCTCCCTTCTACAAACTTGAGGTGTCGCTTGGGGCCCAACCCAAGTTAGTACACCAAGAGCTTATATATATACACAAGCTCTCTTAAAGTTTTAATGTGGGATAAGCCTTACAAGGAAACCTACATTTAATTCTTTAAATGTCCATTCCATGCACCCGAAAATGACGTCAAGTTTCCATTCACTCATAAATGGTTTTGACGAATTGTCTTCACCATGTGACTTGCCATGTGGCAAGGAACACATCACCTCTTCGGACCCATCCCAAAAGACATTTGGGGCCCACTCAAAATTGGGTTCAAAGTTAGCTCAAAATTAGCCTATAAAAACCATTATTTTCAACGGAATGTGTATGTAATGTATGGAGGACTACTACCATTTTGTTGAAGTAGTAATGAATGTAGTGGCTTTTTTTGTTTAATGATCTATGTTGTATGTACACATTTAATATTCACCTTCATTACTACAAATATACAGAGAGAGAACTTGTAAAATGTTAGCAAATTGTGAGATTAATTTTGTCAATTGCACTAAGTAGTAATTATTTGGATATGGATAGTACTATTGCTCTTATTTGAAGTTGAGATTTGAGATGGAGGTGTTTGTGTCAATTACACATCTTTTACCCATTGACACACTTGGTTGCAAATTCTTTAAATGTCCATTCCACGCATCCGAAAATGACGTCAAGTTTCCATTCACTCATAAATGGTTTTGACGAATTGTCTTCACCATGTGACTTGCCATGTGGCAAGGAACACATCACCTCTTCGGACCCATCCCAAAAGACATTTGGGGCCCACTCAAAATTGGGTTCAAAGTTAGCTCAAAATTAGCCTATAAAAACCATTATTTTCAACGGAATGTGTATGTAATGTATGGAGGACTACTACCATTTTGTTGAAGTAGTAATGAATGTAGTGGCTTTTTTTGTTTAATGATCTATGTTGTATGTACACATTTAATATTCACCTTCATTACTACAAATATACAGAGAGAGAACTTGTAAAATGTTAGCAAATTGTGAGATTAATTTTGTCAATTGCACTAAGTAGTAATTATTTGGATATGGATAGTACTATTGCTCTTATTTGAAGTTGAGATTTGAGATGGAGGTGTTTGTGTCAATTACACATCTTTTACCCATTGACACACTTGGTTGCAAGTCTTGGCCAATTACTGAAGGATGTGGATAGTACTATTGCTCTTATTTGAAGTTGAGATTTGAGAGATTTTTTTTTTTAATGTAATTAATCAAGCAACTGATTTTAATGTCTTCAACAGTGGCATACATAAATCATTTCATGATTGTGCAAGGGAATCCAAGTGCATTCATCTTAAATCATTAATAAACACATCTTAAATTCTACAAGAATCCAAGTGCATTCATCTCCAAACAAAATAAATTTGACCAACGACATGAACTACAAACAAAACAAAATAAATGGACCTGCCTAGTGACCTGCCCCAAACAAAACAAAACAAAACAAAACAAATTTAACAAACAAATTTGACCTGCATAGTGACCTGCCCCAAGTGTTACTACAAATAGACTACAACATGAACTATAAACAAAACATTCAGCCGATTGTGAGGCACAAACAGCAACAAAACAACACAAATAGCAGCATTAGAGGCATATCTTATGCTTGAAATTTGAAGTGCCTTCCATCTCTTCGTGGCCATCCAAACCCTAAAAAAAAAAAATGAAAACCAGCAATTCAACACCAAAACAGCACCATTTCAGCACAAAAAATGACCAAAAAATAGCAGCAACATAACACAACACAACACAAATTCAGCAGTACTTTGGAGCACAAAATGACAGTAATTCACCACCAAAACAGTAGCAAAATAGCAGCAACAAGAAACATTAATTTCAACAAAAGAAATGACCAAAAAACAGCAGCAACACAGTACAAATTCAGCAGCACTTTGGAGCACAAAATAACAATAATTCACCACCAAAACAGCAGCAAAACAATAGCAATTCAGCAGCAACAAACAACATTAATTTCAGCACAAAATTCAGCAAAAACAATATCAAAACAGTAGCAAAAGTACCTTAATAGACAGTTGCCAATTATTTGTTGGACAACAATCTGTATTTGAGGCTTCAGAATCTTGAAACCCAATGTCATACCCACCTTGAAGTAGTGTCATAAATGTTAGTTGAGCACAATATACCAAATTGTTTGCCTACAATGAATTCATATTATATTAGGCTTCATAACAACATACAAATGACCATATTATACCCACCTAAAAAAAAAAAACACGAAAATAAAAACAAATTGACAAAATCTCACTCACATTATATGTGGGATATATGAATGGATGAGGAATTGAAGTACCACCCATGGCAAAAGAATAAGGAAGAGGGGGAGCAGAAGGAGGATGAAGAGGAGTAACATTTTCATGAATGTAGACATCTCCTCCAACAGATAATGGAAAAGGTCTCACTGTTGGAGCAGCAACAAGTTGTGAAGAACTCACAAATGTAGCACGGGATTTCTTTTTAAATCTTGTTTGTAATGCTAGCTCACATGGACCTTTTTATCCTCCTTTTGCCCTTACTAGTTGGATGTTTTTTCTTCAATCCTGTTGGAATTTGCACAAGATGATTGTTGTCTTTAGAACCCAGTTCCAAGCTTTGACGTTGATCATCAATACTTGCTTCTTTTTCGATACAAAAATGGGCACTTATCTTGCTTTCAACATTTGCACCTAATGTAGCGAGTTATGAACAACAAAAATCATAAATTTCTTCAGTTTCAGCAACTTTACATGCTATTTCTCTAAATGCGGTCATCAATGTCTTATACCGTAAGGCTTGTTGGAATTTGACATCTACTTGAATCTCATTCCCTAACTTGTCTTTCACAACTTCTGCTCTTGCTTGTTTGGTCCACCTCTTCATAATGTATTGTAAAGAAATCTCTTTTAGCTTCAATATTTCTCTTATAACCTTCAAACAGTGACTGCACAAAATCCCTTTTATTTCAAACTTTGTACAACTACAAGTCAAAGAGCCATCCATCTTCATATTCACTTTCCTTTTATTTTTCCCAATAGCATCAACAATTGTGTATAGGCTACAACCATCATCGTATGAAATTGCTTGTATATCTGATTCAACAGAAAGAAAATATTCATTTTGAAACTCCTCAAAAATATTTTTAGTGTACACATTACCTATTTGACTTAACATTATAAATGGCGCTCTCACCCTTGGCAACCTTTGGCATAAAGCATATCCAGCTTCTAACTCTTTGTACCGCTTCTCACAAAGTACCATTTCAAAATGCATGAAAAATTCATGTAAATTAAAATCAGAACGAATGTAATCCTTCAAAAAAGCATTAAAAGATTCACTACGTTGTGTTGTACTCATTCCCGCAGCCCATGTCGATCTAACATATGGCCAGCCCTATTTTTCTTTCACCCCAAAAGTCAACTCCAACCAATGATTATCATGAGTATCATATGTATCAAGCATTTCCCCCCACTTTATTTTGCATTCATTTTCATCCTCAATATCAAACATGAATCTGTTCAATACACCTTTCACCCCCTTATCTTGAAAGAGACAATTAACATGCCTTAATGCATTTTGAATCAAATGCCAAGTGCACAAATGGTGACTCGTGTCAGGCATGACAATGTATATGGCCTTAGCCATTGCAGCATCTTGATCGGTAAACAAAGTTTTTGGTGCATTTTTTGATATAGCCTCTAAAAACGTTTGAAATAACCATACAAATGTTTTAGCAGTCTCATCATACAACAAAGCAGCACCAAAAATAACTGTTTCTCTATGATGTTTAAATCTCACAAAAGATGCAAATGGCCTATTTAACTTGTAGGTAGTATCAAATGTAACTACATCGCCAAATTGGGCATAATCCATGATCATTTGTGTATCGGCCCAAAGCATATTCGTTATTTGCTCCTCATTGTCTAATTGGAAAGCACAAAAAAAAGATGAATTCTCCAAAAAAATTTGTTGAAAGTATTGCAACACATTATCTACTTCCCCATACGCTACACATTTTTGCCTTTTGGTTCTCAAGTAATTTTTTTGATCAAATTTCATAAACCCAAGAGACTGCCTTCCACTAGCTTCCCTACCCATGAGTTCAAAAGACTGCCCTAAACGAAGACCAGACTCTGAGGCTAAGTCTAACTGAATTGCTTGGATGGCTGGTATCCTTCTTTGAAATGGCAACATATGGGCATAATCAGGAGATACAAGTTCATGGTTGTGTTTTTCTTTGAAATCAATCATAACTAATTTCCCAGTACTGACATCCAATGTAACAAAAAGCCAGGCCTCACAACCAGTCCTAGTTTTAGCTCTTGGGGTTTTTGTCAATGGGTCTCGCTTGTCAACCTTCCAAAATCCCTCCTTGTTGCAAACAAAATTTCTAGAAATAATTTGTTTTGTAAACTTGTTCTTCTTACAATATTCCCTTCTTATGCTAAATCTCATTCTTCCTTCATATGCATTATAAAAATCATACGCACCTTCTTCCGAATCAAAGGTCATTCCTTCTTTTGGCTTCCAATCACAATCATTGTCAGGTTCCATATCCATATGAAAATGCAACTGAAAAGTAAAGGCAATGAAATGGGAGAAGTATCAATACAGAATAATAAAGTAAAATCAGTTGGGTTTTAGAGGTTTTGTTAGCTCAATCACTGTATTCTCAGTAATTCAAGACTGCCTTTTTTGGGGGGAATTTTTTTACCTGAATATGAACCTACACTTGATTTTAAACACTATGTATGAAAATGCATTGCTTCTAGAGTCTTTTCCTATATTTTGATATTTTTTTTTCGTTCTGTACATACAAATAATGTGCTGAAACTTAAAGAGTTTGAAAATGCAATTGAACAAGTTAGGAAGACCACATAAATATCTAGGTTATCACCTTCTGAGTGATTTTAATGCCTTTTCAAGTATACCACATTGGCTCATTTTAATTACTGCATCAATGTATATTATAGACATGTTAAAACTGATCGAAATTCTCGGTAGGATTGGCCGACCCAATTGCATCACAGTCTGCTAACGGATACAAATCTTGCTCTTAAATGGATTTCAGTGAATAATATGTTTAATTAATTGAGTAAAATAATATGAAATGAAATATCTACCATTTCCTTCTTGGCTTGTTCTGCCCAACATCATATTGGAAACTTAACGGCAAAAATATAGCCTATTTCATGTGGCATTTGATGCATTTGAGAACATCATCACTAAATAATTTATAAAATATAGCCTAGAGGAACATCAATAATATAGCTTTGAAGTGTTTTATTTATTTATTTGGAACCAATTAATAAAAACCAACAAATAATAACTGATGCTGTTTTCAGAAAATGATCTTGCACAACCACATTATAGATTACACTATATATATATATATATTCATAAATTCTATGCCAAACCAATCAAGTCCTATGTTTTTAGTCTTTTCTCTACCATTTTCATTCTCTCTCTACGTTTATTATTATTTTTATTTATTTATTATTTTTGGCCTATTAAACAATGAAAATGGCAAACCATCAAACGTAATTGCTTTGAATAGAAAACACACATCAACTACAAGTTTTACAAAATGGCAGCTTTGAACATGTCAGATTGTTTGAACATGGCAGATTATTTGGGGAAAAATGCTTTGAATATGGTAGATTGTTTGAACATGGCAGATTATTTGGGAAAAAATTTAAGGGAAAAAAATATTACCTTTAGTTTGATGAAGTGCAGCTCTAGTTCGCGGGGTCGCCGGAGCTTGGTTCGGGGTTGAAATGTTCAGAGTAAGACAAAGGGAGAGACCGGCAGCTGAAATCGCAGTTGAAACCTTCGGAGTAAGACAGCGGGAGAGAGGGAGAGACCGTCGATGTTCGCCGCCGACTTCGATTCGCCGCCGACTTCACCGATCGTCGTTAACCAAAGCTTCGAAGAGGGAGGAAAAAAGTGCTTCGAAGAGGGAGGGAAAAACTGAAGTGAATGAGAGGGAAGCAACAGCTGTGTTGAATGAAACAAATTCAATTTTTTTATTTTTTTTTATTTTAGCATATGAGCCGTAGATCTTCTTTTAAGAGACGTGGCCAAATCCTGGCCCTTTACCGGAGGAAGGGCTGGAGGATTTGGCTAGAGAGGATCTGAACTCCTGGTATATGTGGTGATAGTATATATATATATGGATAATTTGGTCATTTTGTAAGAATTTGTATATATATGGGTAGTTTGGTCATTTTATAAGAATTTGTCTTTATGGATAAAGTATTTTTAGAGTGTGAACTTTTGGACAAAATAATTTAAAATTAAACCTTTCCACATTGAATGCCCTTATAATTTTAAAATTTATTTCTATAATTAGATGTTTCAATGACCACTTGATCCGGAGTTTCAAAAATAAAATCATTTAAAAATGAGAAAATTAGTGATTAATTCAATTTAAGGAGAGTATAAGGCATTAAGTTTAGTGAATATTTTTTATTTGGTAATAGGCCCACTTTTTATGAAATAATTTGGTGAGAAATCTTTTGGTTGATTTTGAATGACATTTTGTTTCTAATTTTACTTCTAAATTTACTGTTGACTTTTTTATTTGTTTGACTTTTTTTGACTATCTGTTCAAATTTATATCTATAGTTTAAATTTATATCTATTTGTGCAAATGTTTTTCTATCTATTCAATTTTTTTTAACTATCTTTTCAAATTTATATGTATTTGTTCAAAAAAAAATTATCTGTTCAAAATATATATCTATCTGTTCAAATTTTTTGACTATCTATTCAATTTTTTCCTTTATCTGTTCAATTTTTTCATTTATCTATTTAAATCTATCTATTCCAATTTTATTATTTGTTCAACAACAATAACAAATCTATCTGTTGAAAATCTAACAACAACAACAAATCTATCTGTTAAAAATATATATCTCTTCTTACTATCTATTTATAACACTTTGACTAATACTATTTACGAAAATCATTCTATTATTTATTTTTGAATGCCTTAAGTTCAATCAGTTATTTTATTATATAAAATAGTTAAATTAACGGTTGAAAAAAATCATAGTTAATAAGTTTTGGGGATAAACTTCTATTTAGAAGGGGATAAATGTGACATTCTAAATATTTAATTGAATACCACGTTAATAATAATAATAATAATAATAATAATAATAATAGTAAAATAAAATATTTAATATCATGATCGCATGTGATAAAGTATAATTTAATTAGGGATTATATGTTACCAAGGAAGATATTAATATAATTATTTTAGGATATGGGCCTAAGTGAAAATAGGTATAACCTACCTGGGGGATAAGCCTTGGGTAAAGTTTTGGATAATCTTGCTAGGTGACAATTGTGGAGCTTGCCACGTGGTTATGCTTAGGGAGGTGCGTGGTACGGTTCGGGTAATTTAAGAGTAAAATTACAAATTGAATGGCGGATTGGCGAATTAACGGATTGACAAATCGTGATTTGGGCAGTTTTGGACGAATTAACGGATTGAAGAATATTCTAACTAATTATCAAATATTTACATAATATATAACACTAATTTACATAATATTTTTTTATATATATAACACAAATTAATTTTACATAATATGTTTCATATATATAACTACTGATTTGTAACAAATTTCACATTTTAAATCTTTCTCACACTCATTTTTAATTTGATATTTCATTAGAGGTTAAAAAATATATATGTATTAATTATAGCGGTATAGAGCGGTTTGAAAGGCAGATTATAAATTTTAAAATTCAATCCGCGGTTAGCGAATAAAACAGTGCGATTTGATATAAATCGGCGCGATTTAGCGAATTGACTAGTATTTTACACAACCCTAATTGTGCTTGGCACCAGGAAGCTGTAGAAGGATCCCCTATAAATTAGAGAGTTTGTGCTGGGAATGGAAGCAAGGAAAAACAAAATAAACAGCAAATGAAAAATATAGTCAGCCAGTAAATGAAGTAAGCTTCGGTGAATGAAGTAAAGGAAAACTTAAGAACCGATATTTAGGTAAATTTTATTATATTTTAAGTGATTATAAATTATTTTATGTAAATTATGTTTTGCATATTATATTAATTTTTAGGATATATTATTTGTTAAATGAATTCTATTTGCTTAAAAAAATAAAACCTATGGATATAACTGTTCATTAAATATGTTTTTGAGCAATTATTTTATAAGTACCACTACGGAGGTCTTTTGCCTTAAGACACTTAAATAACCATGGCCCTTTGAATTGTCACTTTAGTGACCCGGTCCCATATTTTGGGGAAATTAAATAACCATTGAAACACGTGGCCAAAAGCCCCGAAAACTAGCTGACGAGCATCAAAAGTGGTATGCAACCACAAAAGTGGTCTCCCGGACCACAGTGTTCCTCTAGGTAGAGGCAACAAGGTGTGGTTCAAAAACCACGCCAAACGGAGAATGTTAAGCGGTCTCGAGACAAGGCGCGCAGCCAAAGGCTCCAAAAACCAGAAACTAGTCTCCAAACGGAAAAAGTGGCCTACGACCACTAACAGTAGTCTACGACCAGAGAGATGGTTAACATGACCACTCCCTCCCTCCGAGAAGGGAAAACAAGACTTGGTCCGCAAACCGAGTCAAAGCACAAAGAGTTCCGAGGCTCGGAGGCAACCTTAGAACGAGCACAACATACACCATCACCGAGCGCTCAATCGATGACGTCTGAGTCTTAAGGTCGGTCAAAAATGGGGTGCCAACAACGGGTTTTGATGCGGATCTGACTTTCCAAACCACATTTATAAGAATATTGATGGTTCTCCTTTAATTGTTAACCGGGTTTTTTTTGGGCAAATTTGCATCTTCTTCTTCTTTTTCTCTTTTTTTTTTTTTTTTTTTTTTTTTTTTTTTTTTTTTTTTTTTTTTTTTTTTTTTTTTTTTGTATGGTTATTTGTTTGACCGTTTAAGGTCTTGTTATTTTTTTTATTGATTTGTATATTGTTTGTTTTTATTTCAATATAACTATTTTTCAAATTCTCAAAAAACAAATTATGAGTCATGCTACTAGACACAACTCTTTTAGCATGTGTACACAAATGTCGTAGTTAAATTTTTTTCAATCATAACAAAAATAATAATAAATCATAATCAAACATCACATAAGATATAATTAAAATAATAATCATAATATATTATAATTAAAATCACAATAAATTATAACTAATTATAAGTATCATAATTAAAACATATGATACAAAACTCGCACCTCTAACTATAGTTGCATCAAATAAAAAAATAAAAAACTATAATTGCATTAGAGCTGCTCTATGTATGGAAAAAATATTTGGTCAAAGGGTGGGTGCTGAAAATTTAAGTCGTCTTGGTATTAGGCAGATGAATATATATATATATATTTATATCTTAAAAATGTTAAAGAATTTGAGGGCAAATTACTAATAGGTCTTAATAGTTAGATTTAATTCCTATCAAGTCTTATTGAAAATAAGTCTTGATAAAATTATCGCTAAAAATAATATTTTTGTGACAATTTTTTATATATGTCGTTAAAAATTGACAATTAGTGACTTTTTTTGATCATAATTTTTATAAATTGTCTCTAAAACTTATAATTATTGACTTTTTTTATAACAAATTTTTTCATAGGACCTATTAGACAATAAATTCACTTATTATGATCTACACGTAAGTACCCCATGATAAATGTGCCACTAAATATCATTGTTTGTGACATTTTCTAAAAATATGCCACTAGTGTAGTGCCACTAAAGTATGTTTTTGTTGTAGTGACTACTGATTTGTAACAAATTTCACATTTTAAATCTTTCTCACACTCATTTTTAATTTGATATTTCATTAGAGGTTAAAAAGTATATATGTATTAATTATAGCGGTACAGAGCGGTTTGAAAGGCAGATTATAAATTTTAAAATTCAATCCGCGGTTAGCGCATAAAACAGTACGATTTGATATAAATCGGCGTGATTTAGCGAATTGACTAGTATTTTACACAACCCTAATTGTGCTTGGCACCAGGAAGCTGTAGAAGGATCCCCTATAAATTAGAGAGTTTGTGCTGGGAATGGAAGCAAGGAAAAACAAAATAAACAGCAAATGAAAAATATAGTCAGCCAGTAAATGAAGTAAGCTTCGGTGAATGAAGTAAAGGAAAACTTAAGAACCGATATTTAGGTAAATTTTATTATATTTTAAGTGATTATAAATTATTTTATGTAAATTATGTTTTGCATATTATATTAATTTTTAGGATATATTATTTGTTAAATGAATTCTATTTGCTTAAAAAAATAAAACCTATGGATATAACTGTTCATTAAATATGTTTTTGAGCAATTATTTTATAAGTACCACTACGGAGGTCTTTTGCCTTAAGACACTTAAATAACCATGGCCCTTTGAATTGTCACTTTAGTGACCCGGTCCCATATTTTGGGGAAATTAAATAACCATTGGTCCTCTGATTAGTCACTTTATGACTCTCTGTTTGTCATGAATCTATTGACTCTCTGTTCTGTTCTGTTCTGTTCTATATCGTGGGTATGATTATTTTGCTATATGATTTCTGTTATTTAAAATGATTTATTCGAACTAAACTGTTCTTTGTTTAGCCTAAATAATTATCCATGGTGATTTTTATAGCTTTATGCTCACAGTATAATATTTGTCACTCTGTCATATACTTATACCTGCTAAACACTTTTAGGTGATGAGGTTTATGGAGGGGTTCATAAGTTGGAAGTAACAAGACCAATGCGTGTGATAGGCACAAGGCACTAGGCACTTTGTAATTATAGTCTATTTTGACAATGTAAATAAATAAAAGCTCAAATGTATATGTTTTAATTAAATAAATATTTGGGTATCCTTTTATTTTACTCTGTTGTATTATTAATTTGTTATGACTTTCAGTTTTGACTCGTACATCTAACCTCTAGGTACTAGGTTTGAGTCGTGACACTATCTGTTCAAATTCAATAACTCTGGTCAGTCTTTCCTAGCCGAAAAACCACCTACTATCTATTCAAAACAAAACATATGGATCTGTAATATGTTTCATTATCAACAACAACAACACATCATCATCATCAACAATAATAACAATAACAACTACAAAAATAAAAAAAATAGAGAGAAGGATCTTGATGATTATCCATACACACAGATGATCCTTTACCAAATTTGAGCTCAAATCTTAAAAAAGAAAAAGAAAAAAAAAGATCTGAAAAAATCATGTTCATATATATATATATATATATATATCTATTTCTCAAATCTGATTTTGCGATGTGTATATATATATATATATATATTGGCAGGTGGCATACGCTTTACGTATGCACTTTAGATGACTGATAATAAAAACAAATAATAAAGAATTTGATATCATAATATGTATGTTACTTAAGTGATAAGTATGTTCTTAATGAAACCCAAGGTCTTAGGTTCAAAATAAATTTTTTTATTTTAGCATACATAAAGTTGCTACGTAGCATGAAGAGAAGAAGGCTTCACTAAACCAATTTAGGTCTTCACTTAATAATAGTATAAATAGATAAACACAAATCTCAAGTTAATGATGAAACATATTTAAGGATGGCCGAGATAATAAAACAGATCTATTTTTGAGCTTTGAAGATGACGATGATGACTCGTAGAGATCTGTTTTTGAGCTTTGAAGATAATGATGATGACTCATAGCACTCTTTGATTGCGCGATGGCAAAATAGAGAGGCGGTGAGAGGATTTGAGAGCTAAAACTTGAGTAAACAAATTGTGAACTTGATGAATTGAAAATCGATTGAATTGAACTATGCTAAGAAGGAGAGCGATTAAGCAACTTACTGTACATACATCCTAGGGCTTCGAAGAGACGATCTTTTCCAACGCTAACAGTAGGAATGATGAGATCGAAAGAAAATGTGACATTTTGCAAAACCCTACGGTGGATGGCAGTGAGATCTACAGTCAACGAGTTTATTGGTATAACAGATCTTGAGTCGTGACTGGCGGCGAATGTTAGAGAAAAAAGGATTTGAGAGTTGATAGGCGCGACAACATCGCTATTTTGGTTGTGACAAGAGGATGGTGGACGACGACGAGATCGTTGAAGGCAGAAATTTGAGTAAGAGAGGATTTGAGACTGTTGCAGGTTGAGACAAAAAGAAGTGAGATGGTTTGGGAGTTTTGTACTATGGTGTATACTATATATAAGGGTATTTTAATCATTTTATTTTTGAATAAAGTGTTTCAACACCTATACTTTGGACAAATAAAATTAAAATTTAGACTTTTAGACCGAGTGTCCTTTAAAAATTATAATTTATTTGTTTGTTTGTTTGTTTTTATTTTTATTTTTAGGTAAATTAAAAACACACCTCTTGAGATTTACTTATATTACAAATCACCCCTTTTGATTTTAAAAATTACATTATGGTGCTAAAGTTTCTAATTTCATAACAAATATGTCATTTTATTAATAAATTATCAAATTAATTAATACTTTTTAGGGCAAATTACCAACACTCTCTTGAGATTTGACTAAAATACAGATTCGCCAGAGGTTTGATAAATTACAAATTGTCCCATGAGGTTTATTTGTTATGCAAATATAAACCTCAGGGGGTAATTTATTATGTAAATATAAACCCCAGGGGGCGGGATATAATTTTTCAAATCTCAGGAGGAATCCATATTTTAATCAAACCTCGAGGGGTGTTGGTAATTTGCCATAGTTTTAGTAATGTTAAAATTTTATTTTAATTAATAATTCAAATAATTTTATTATTGTAGAGGTGAACAGTTATAAGTTTTATTTTTTTAATTAATTTTGTTAAATAAAAATTTTGATAAAAATATATTTATAATTTTTTAAATCACAAAAAATAATCTATACTATATATTAAGCAAAAGGGGATTTTTAACCCCAAGCCTTGTGGGAGCTCCAATCTCCCAATCTAAATTTCCTGATTTTTTGATTAAAAAAAAAATCTTAGCATTTATTAACTTCTCCAAACTCCCAAGTCTTACCCTCATAATAACACTTTAATGCATTAAGAAAAAGCATAAAAAAAATTCTTTGAAATCCAATACATATGAATTCCTTGAAAAGTCCCAACATATATGATTATTATCCCTCATAATAACATTTTAATGCATTAAGAACAAACATAAAAAAAATTTCTTGAAAAGTCCAACACATATGATTATTATCAAAATATTAAACTTTAATATAATATAATAAAAAAAAATATTTAATTCATTGAAAAATCCAACACATATGATTATTATCAAAATATTAAACTTTAATATAATATAAAAAAGAAAAAAAAGAAGACATTTAAAAATTACAATTTACATATATAGGTAATTATAAACACAATCTGTACATAACACGGGTGGTATGCTAATTCATATTTTAAGCAAATATGTAGCTCATTATTTTTTTTTTATTTATAACAAACTAAAGATTAATTTTTTCCCAAAAATAAACAGTCATATTGTTTTGGTTGGGTTTGCTGCCTGATGTTTCTCTGGTCATGTCCTCAGTCGATTCTCTAATCTCCACTCTCGCCGCCGCCGCCGCCGCCGCCGCCAGCACTCTGTGATAAACCAAACCCTATCATGAAAATGCTCTTCCCTAAACCCTACTCACCATTCTCTTCTCTCTCTTCTTCCTCCAACGCCCACCTCGTCGACAAAGCCATCACCATCCTCAAACGCCACCAACCCATCCACCTCGAATCTCTCTCTTCCCAATTCACCCCTCAATCGGCCTCCTATCTACTCCTCCAATCCCAACTCCACAAAACCGTAACCGTAAATTTCATCGACTGGGCTCGACACCGCCCTTTCTTCGATCCCCGATGCAAATGTCTCTCTCTCCATCTCCTCACAAAATTCAAGCTCTACAAGACTGCTCAATCCCTTGCCGAAGACCTTGCTCTCACCACCGACGATTCCGGTGACTCGGTCTTTCAGTCTCTCAAAGAGACTTACCATCTCTGCAATTCGAGCTCTGCTGTCTTTGATCTCGTGGTAAAATCGTACTCTCACTTGAATATGATCAAAAGAGCTTTGCACACAATTAGTTTAGCTAAATTGAATGGTTTTATGCCCGGTGTATTGTCTTATAATTCGGTTCTTGATGCTTTAATTAGGTCACGCGATTCCATCGAACTAGCTGAGGAATTGTACAATGATATGAAAAACAGTGGGATTTCGCCTAATGTGTTTACATATAATATACTGATTAAGGGTTTTTGTGGGGTTAGGAAATTGGAGAGGGGTTTAAGGTTGTTTAGTGAAATGGAAAGAAATGGGTGTTCTCCCAATGTGGTTACTTTTAATACCTTAATTGATGCGTATTGTAAGACTGGGAGGATTGATGATGCGTTGAGGTTGTTGAAATCGTTGTCGGAGAAGGGTTTGGATCCTAATTTGATTTCGTACAATGTGATTATCAATGGGTTGTGTAGAGAAGGGAGGATGAAGGAGACTGGTGAGGTTCTTGATGAAATGAGGTGGAAAGGTTATGTACCTGATGAGGTGACATATAATACCCTTGTCAATGGTTATTGTAAAGAAGGTAATTTTCACCAAGCGCTTGTCTTGCATGCGGAGATGGTGAGGAATGGTCTCTCACCGAATGTTATTACTTATACTTCATTGATCAACGCTATGTGTAAAGCAGGGAACTTAAATCGGGCAATGGAATTCTTTGATCAGATGCATGTGAGGGGGCTTCATCCAAATGAGAGAACATATACAACATTGATAGATGGCTTCTCCCAACAGGGATTCTTAAAAGAAGCTTATAAGGTCCTCAATGAAATGACTGAATGTGGATTTTCACCTTCAATTGTGACGTATAATGCCCTAATCAATGGACACTGTGTATTGGGGAGGATGGAAGGGGCTTTAGGAATTATTCGAGATATGGTTGGGAAAGGGTTGGCCCCAGATGTTGTCAGTTATAGTACAGTCTTATCCGGGTTTTGCAAAAATCTAGATTTGGATAACGCGTTCCGAATGAAGCAGGAGATGGCGGAGAAAGGAGTTTCGCTAGATGCTGTTGCTTATTCATCACTGATTCAAGGTCTCTGCCAGCACAGAAGACTGACTGAGGCTTGTGATATTTTCCAGGAGATGTGGAGATTGGATCTGCCTCCTGATGAATGCACATATACTACTCTGATCAATGCTTATTGTGTAGAAGGAGATATTAAAAGTGCTCTTCATCTGCATGATGAGATGATAAAAAAGGGCTTCCTTCCTGATGTTGTTACCTATAATGTGCTATTAAATGGGCTTAGCAAACAAGCTAGGACGAGGGAGGCAAAACAGCTTCTCTTCAAATTGTTTTATGAGGAGTCCATTCCGAATGATGTCACATATGCTACACTGATAGAAAATTGTAGTAATACTGAGTTTAAGAATGTGGTAGCTCTCATAAAGGGATTCTGCATGCATGGTTTGATGAATGAAGCAGATCGCGTTTTTGAATCAATGCTTCAAAGAAACTGCAAGCCTAGTGAAGCAGTTTATAATGTTATTATACATGGTCATTGTAGGGGTGGAAATTTGCAGAAAGCATTGGATCTTTACAAGGAGATGGTGCACCATGGATTTGTTCCTCATACTGTATCTGTCATTGCTCTGATAAAAGAACTTTTCAAAGAAGGGAGAAGTGAGGACTTGAGTCAAGTTATAGAGAATACACTGAGAAGCTGTAGGCTTACTGATGCTGAACTTGCAAAAGTCCTTGTTGAGGTCAACCACAAAGAAGGCAACATGGCTGCAGTATTTAATGTTCTTACTGAAATGGCGAAAGATGGGCTTCTTCCAAATAGCGGGGAAACTTTCCGTGCTTCGCGATAAACTGTATGACAAACTTGTGTATGTTATCAGGGACCAGTGAAGTAATTCTTTACACACAAATAAAAAATAAGTGGCCAAGTTGGGAATTAGACGAAGTCCAGTTCCTTGTTTTCATCCTATCTTTCTTATATACAAGTTATCAAGGAGCTTCAGAGATATGTGCCTAGAAAGCCTTCATCCCTTTCATCCCCTTCTGTCCTTGTGATTTTGCCAAAGTTCTTTTAAGTACTGATGATGACTCTATTAATTAGGAATTGTGAGGCAACTGGTATGGCACATGATTATGTTCTATTTAATAAATTCTGATTGGATTTTTATGCACAGTATCATTTATTTATCATTTGCTTCCCTCAGGTTTCTGCTCAATATGATATAACTCTCAAGAGACCATAGTGACAAAGTGCTGATGACACTTGTGCGTCATGCTAACTTAGGTAATCCATTCTGCTTTGCCAATGAGATGAGATGCCATTATTTTACTCCCTTATTTTTATTTTTATTTTTATTTTTATTCTGCAGGTGAATCGTATTCAATGAGGCACTTGTATGCTTGTTGCACAACATCTATGGTCTATGATCTGTGGTCTATGATCTATGATCTTCGAAGCATGGCTATGGATATGGGATACAGTAACGACATGATACAGATATGTTGATAACAACAAATTGTATAAATGTAAGATATTTAGATAATATAATTTTACGTATATGAGACAATTATTTTGACATAACATATTTGTAACAAAATATTGAATCTACCAAATATTCTCACCTTCAAATTTATAATACGTTCACATAAAAAATTGAGGTTATATTATGCGGACATGAATTCGGACCAAAGCTGGCATACTTTAATTTCACTATTTATTAATATTTTTGTGTTTATCCTGGAAACTATGACCTCATGCTACATAAGAAATGCCACCTAGGAAGCATGGATACAGATACGGGATATGGTGATATGATAAAATTTGAAAAAATAGGATACAGATATAGCAGGGATACATTTGTAAAACGAATTATTTTTATAATTTTATTAATGTAATATGCATGCAATACTAACATTAAATTAAATTTCATTACTTTAAGAGAAATTTCATCCCACCTCACTTTTAAAGTATAATTAATACAACGTTAACATTTCTAGCATCATTTGGGAACAGTCCAAAGGTTTCACTTAAAAAAATCCAAAACTCACAATATATTATATAAAAGAGAAAAACAAAATTAAAAAATAAAAAAAAAAAGAAAGAAAAAAGAAATAAAGCTGTAGTAATAGTATAAGATAAAGGGGAAAAAAAGAAATCAAAAAGAATAAAGCAGAATCAGAATAAGAGATAAAAGGGAAAATAGAATAAATAAATAAATAAAATAAAATAAATCGGAAAGAAGAAGCATGAGAGAGAAGAGAGAGAGACAGAGAGAAGAGTGAGAGAAATAGAGACGACAGTGAGAGAGAGAGAGAGAGAAACCTGTTCGTTGTGCTCGATCAAGACGAAGACAAGATCGAGCAACCATATTTGCTTCCTTCCTTGCCAGATTTGCCTCTTGAATTTGAGTATTTGAGGTTAGGTTAGGGCTTCTCACCTTTTCTTATTTTTAATTTGTGTTATCTTTAATTTAAATTTACATATTTTACGGTTTGACCCACAAAAAACCTTTGAAAATTATGTTTTTTGCCCCCCGCTGGTATCCCGTAAGTATCCGGAATGGCAGAAAGTATCTCCCACGTATCCATGCATATCGAAAACGTATCCGAAATTCAAAAAAGAAAAAAAAATGGATACTCTTTTGCCGTATCCGATATGCATCCCTGTGTATCGGATGCATATCCGTATCCAATACTCGTATGCTGTCCGTTTTGGAGTATATCTGTGCTTGATAAAATGCCATATCACAATTTCAAGAAAGGATGAATATGTGACCTAGAGATCCAATACGTTTTCAAAATTTAAGATGGTATATGTATTTGTGAGCATTCAATACAGATTCAATATGGATATGGCTCCTTTCTTAAGGTACCATGCTTCATAGTTTATAATCACTTCTCTATTTTAATATCCATTTTCTTAGCTCACTTCCAAGTCTCTGCATGCTCTGGGGTCTGTGTTCTCATCTGCAATTTTGACATGCTATCAACTTCTCATATTTTATTGTTTTTTGGATATCTCTATCTGTTTTTCTTTGTACTTAAAAGCTATACATGGGAGCTGTGATATGTTTCTCCTTATATGCAAGTAAGTAGCACTGTAGTGTAGTTGATTGATGAATGCCAAGAAATATATATATCTATATAACAAAGCACAAAAGTATTTGAAAATGTGTCAAAATGTATGAGAGATACATTTTGTATCAATGGCGGAGATGTTTCCTAATCAATATCTACCGGTTCAAAGTATACCAAACATGCCTTTGGTTCCTGCCCAAGTGTACCAAACACTCTTCTTCTTCTGTCTCTCAAACATCTGCCTCCCACCTATCCCCTGTCTCCCTCTCTGTTCTTCTTGATTTCAAATTTTAAACTCTCTATCCATTTCTCTCTTAGCTTTTGCCTCTCCTATTTCTCTCTCTCTTGCTTCATCATAGCTCACTCCGACTGTCGTTCAAAATCACTCCGACCGGCAGCTTGGTCATTCACTTTGGTAGCTTGGTTCACTCCGACTGTCATTCACTCTGGCAGCTCAGTTGCAAAATCAGAGCTCACTCCGATCACTCCTGTAAGGTAATTACAATACGGGTTTGGTGTGATTTTAGTTTTATGATCTGAATTTGATGTTTTTGATGGGACTTTTTTTAGGTTGTTCTTTTGGGACTCTTTTTAGGTTGCCAAGTTGCAAAAGTCACCTGTAGTTTGGCCCTCATTTCGATTTTTGTTTTTCTAAACCTTAAATCAAAATACCTAGAATATATTGGAATCATGTTGTTGTGTAGTTTATCAATAACCCATTTGGTTGAGCTAATATCTGTTAGTCTAATTTGAGTTAGAATTTGATTGAATTGAGTAAAATGTTTTAAAATGGCTGACTTGGAAACACCCACAAGTCTGCTATGGAATGAGCAGTAACTGCTGTTCTGTGGATGTGGTTAACACTCTGGTTCTCTCTTTCATTTATTCATCTAATAGCTGCATTTGTATTCATTTTGTGGTAATATCTGCTATGAAATTGTCCCCTTTATGTTTCTTGGTTTTTTGTATCTCCTAATTTTTTGTTTCTAAACTTCATTGAGCTTTTGACATTCTAATGCAGCTTGAGTTTTTTGTATCATTGACCTTTTTGACAAAACAAGGCTGGTTTTGAATCTTGATGTAGACATTTGTCCTATGTGGCACTTTGAACTTTCAGGATTTATTCAATCCAATGGCTAAAATTATAATCTGAGGCAAAGGCTCAGATGATTTCTACTCTAATCTAATGGTATAATGTTACCTCACCACCTTCAAATGGCTTAGAGATACAAATTGAGTTTCAAAATTTGAAACTCCATCTATGGGGCAGCCTCTTTTAATCTCTCCTTCACTCTCTCTCTCATATCTCAGCTCCACCTTAGTTGAGCTCTTTCTCCCATCCACCGCCTCAGCCCCTCCCTCCCCCGCTCCCACTTCTCCATCACTTCAGCTGTCTCCTCCCCGCAACAGACATTGCTCCTTTCAAACTGTCTTAGGGCATTGTTTTTGCAAATCGGCGATTGAGATGGTTTAGGGCTTCGTTGATTCCAAGCTCTGGAAGCCATCATGGAGGAACGAGACAACTACTCCTATGATCCTTCACAAATCCAATTGATGGTATCCTCTTTGAGTCTCTTATTTTGGTTTCTATAAATGAGTAGTCTCTATAGATTTCTTTGCTCTGGTTTATGTTCATATGGGTTTCTATGAAATGGGTGATTCTAATAGATGAAAAGCCATGAAATTAGGGATGTCTTGTGAAGTAGATATATTTTCTGATTTCTTATACTATTATTGGTTTGATCAGCAATAAATAATTTTTGAATGTTGGAAACACATTAATATGTCAGTATTAATGCTACAAACATATTGTTCCTCATGCTACCCATCTTTAAATTGTATGTGTAAATTGGAAGGTTTTTGAGCAAAGGTGTAATGTGCCTGCATGTGCTCGAGTTTATTATGGTAAACAAATTATTACATGTTATATAGAAAACATATAATTCAATTATCAGTTGAGCTTTCTAGAGTGTTCTTGCTGTTTTCTTTTCTTTAATTTTTTTTTTAGACTTTTTTTTTTGTCTAATTATTTATTCAATTCTTCTTTCTTTTTCTCTTTTTTCAACAAGGCAGTGGTGGTAGTGAATTCTATTGATGTCTCCAACAATGATCCTAGATCAGCAAGGCGGTGAAGGAAACTATATTTATTTGCTTATGTTAATTTTTTTGGGGTATATTTATCTGTTTGTTGATTTATTTTTTATTTTTTATATTTATTTGTTTGTTGTCCAGAGAATCGTATGCTTCATTGTTTCAAAGTAAGTATTCATGCATATTTTTTTTGTTCTTTTGATTGTTTTATCAGCAAGAAGAGTTCAGTTAATTGGCTTTGTTGGTGGTTGATTTTGATATTTTGGGTTATTTTATTAGTTGGTGTGCTTTTTGTAGTATTTTAGTTAGTGTGCTTTGATTTTGTTCAGCTTCTATTTTTGTGGCATTGTTATGTCGTTGGTGAGAGATATAAGGGAAACGAGAGAAGGTGTGTATGGTAGGGGAGGCAAGGGGAAGATAGAGAGAGTGGTGGTTGTGCAATTGGGGAAGGGGAGAGTCTGGAGGTAAAAAAAATTCAGAGAAAAAAATAGAATTGTAAGAGAGGTGAAGGTGAAGGTGAAGGTGAAGGTGAATGGAAATACAAAAAAGGAAAAAAAAAAATAAATTCAGAGCATCGAGTTGGAAAAAAAAATGAGTTCAGAAAATTCATTGTTTTGGAATGGATTCTTTTCAGCCGTTATCATGAGTTATTTTGGAATGAATTCTTTAGTGTTGTTTTAAAATCTGTTTTGTTGTGTGGTCTTAAATATATATATATATATATTTTCAGGTATGGTTTGGTTTTGTGAGTTTAAATCCTTAAAAGCCATTGAAGCCTCAATGGAACTTATGTCGGTTAGACCCTTTTAGATCCAATATCCTTTCAGATTAAAGGAAAAGCTCCATTCAGCCTCCATGTAGAAAAGGGAAAGAATAGTGTACTGCTTTTAATCCTCATAGAAGAACCATCCTAAAATTCCTAATGTGAGTTTTCCTTTTAAATTTTTTCTCCTTTTCATTCTACAATATATGTGCCTTTCAGGCCATTGACTACTCTTTCTATCTCTCCCTCTCTCTATTTTCTTTTATTTTAATTCGCTAGCTCTAAACTTCAGTTACAACAGAAAATAATTGTGAAAGGCCGGTTAGAACTATTGGGGTGCATTTGATATTGAAGATAAAGCCTCTGAATTTTGATGTGAGCCCAAATCAAGTGACAAGAAAACAATATCATAAGTGAAATGAAAGAAGGTCAAAGCAATCTTTGAGGTCCATTTCTTTTTCTATTGTGTCAGGTATATTTTCTGTCTTCATTATATATGCTTCAATTCATTTTGCAACAAAATAAAAAATTCTTTTAGGATTGATAAAACCTTATTATTTATAGATTAAGTTGTTCCTTTTTTGGCCCCTATTTTTAGGTGGCTTCAAAACTTTGTTTATTCCATCCTTTTGACAACTTTGATTGTTGAATGTCTAATTTTATTTCATTTGTTTCAATTGTTGAATTTTAAATGTAGTATTTGACTTCCTCCTGAAAATTTATCGCACTGGATTTTGAAAATTCATCATATAGTGTGACATTTATCAATGATGTATTCTTTCCTATGAAGCACCGGTACTCCTAAAATGTTGCCGTACAAGTACCGGGTACGTACCTAGTACGGGTACGCGTACCGGTACGGCTGCACGCGTATCGGGTACGGCCAAAAGGGGTCTGGTACGTCTGGTACATTTGGGTACGGCATGGGTGCGGAGGGGGCAAAAAATACTCAAAAACTACATGTATACATGTATACATACCATAAACATACCATAAACATACCATAAACATACCATAAACACATCTATAGAGGGAATCGAGAGAGAGACAGAGGAGATGGAAGAGATCGAACCTGATAGTGTAGAGAGGCGTCGCCTTTGTGTGCTAGGGCAATGAAGGATTCTAGGGTTTTCTCTTCAATTGATCGATCGATCAATCGTCTCTCTCTTTGACCGATCTTCTGCTCACTGTTGATCGATCGTCTTCGTCTCTCTCCTTTCTCTCTCTCTCCGTCTCTCGATCGCCTCTGTTCTCTTGTTCTCTCTCTTCGTCTCTTGATCGCCTTTGCTCTCTCGCCTCTGCTCCTCTTCGTCTTTGACTCTTCTCAGATATATAATATAATATATGTAATATAAGATATATAATATAATTGGTGATACATATAATATATAATAATATAATAAATTTTTATATATAATGTAATTGATCATGTATAATATATAATATAATTGATCATATATAATATATATAATAAATTTTATAAATTATAATTTTTATCATATATAATAAAATATATATATTTATTGGCGTACCGCAGCCGTACCCGTATCATACTTTTTTAAATTTTGACGTATCGACGTACCCGCACTCGTACCCGTACCGTACTCGTACCCGTACCTGTGCTTCATAGATTCTTTCCATAATGTGCATAACAGAAAAAAAAGAAAAAGAAAGAAGAGAAACTATATCGTCAAAATTTGAGTTACTTTGGGAACAACCTTTTGCTAAGTGTTGGAATCATATATTGTAAAAACCAAAATTTATGTCTAATTGTGTCCTTATTTACGGAAAACTATAAGTTACAGATGCTTCTTTCTTTCCTGTTGTTGTCTTATTTTTTTAATCCTCATTGGAATTTGTGGATGACAGAATCATAGTGTAGTGCTTTTGTTGTCCCATTGTTCTTCTACTTAGGATCTTATTTTTAAAAATATGGTTCAATGTAGAGCTTATTTTTTACTTAGGAGCTTATTTATTTATTTATTTTTTATAGTGTAGTGCTTTTGTGCTCATTTTATGTTAAGTATTTTAGAGGAGTTAGCAAAACTAGATGATGAAAACATGTGAAGAATAGGGGAACTGGGCTATGTGCATGGTGGTCAATGGTGGTGTCTGACAAATCAAGAACTAAGATCCCCTTTAGCTGTTAGAAAGTTTATCGTCTACTATATGATGTGATTTGGAAATACTGAACATTAGTCATTTTTTCTTTGAATTATATTTTCTTCTTTAATCCATTTGACTTTATGTGCATGGTGGTGAGTGGTGGTGCATGATAAATCAAAAACTAAGATACTTTTTAGCAACTAGAAAGTTTATTGGCTATTATGTGATGCGATTTGGAAATACTGAACATTGGCCATTATTCTTTTTTTGAATTAGATTTTTCATAAAAGATGGAACCAAAATGGGATTGATGAACAATGGATAAAATATAGCCCATGATGGAAGCAAACTTTTTTGTTCTGATACACTTCTTCCATTAGATTAGTTTTCTCCTTATCTATGTGTTTCTCTCTTAATTTGGGTTGTTATGGCCTATAAGAAACCTACTATAATAGCTCATTTGAATGACTCATGCATGATATTTTGGTTTCTTAATTTTCTGTTTGGTATGGCTTTGGATTGTATACAACTAGCTTACTTTTTCCCCATAAAAAGTACTGGTTTGGCTATTACATGTTTTGGTGATTGTTGGAATGACTTCCATTCTACATCAAATAATAAATGTGTTGAAGATTTAAACCAAATAGAAAATGTGCATAATGAGGATTATGAAAGAAAAAAAAAGGAAGACAGACAAACCAAAAGATGCCTTGCTTAAGACAATATATGCCTCTTTATTTGAATTTTTGACTCGTATATATATCTCTAAGATTTATAAAATTACATTTTATTTGTAGAGAAAATATGAGTTACATATGTTTTTCCCCCCTTTGTATTCCTCTCCTTATTTTATTTTATTTTTGGAATCCTCTTGGAATATAAGGACAACAAAGTCATGGTATCGTTTTTCATGGTGTAGTTTTTTTGTTGTCTTCTTGTTCTTACTTTGGAGCACATATTTTAAAAATATGGTTAAGTTAGCAAGGGAAAACATGTGTGCTTATTTTTGTTGAGTACTTTAGTGGAGGTAGTAAAACTAGATGAGGAAAACATGTGAAGAATAGGCGGGCCGGACTATTTGCGTGGTGGTAGTGTCTAATAAGGGGTTGTTTGGGATGATCTAAATAAGTGTACTTTTTGACTTTTTATGAAATATGGGTTGGGTTTGAAGTGATGTGGTAGAGAGGTGATGTGACTTAAATAAGATGATGTGACTTAATAGAATAGTGACTTTTTGACTTTTTTAGGGGATGCCAAACCTAGCCTAAATTAAGAAGATACATCATAGGTACTTTTGAGCAATTAAAAAGTTTATTGTGACATTATTTGGAGATATCATTAGGCATTTTCTCTGAATTAGATTTTCTTCTTTAATCCATTTGATTTTAGATATATATATATATATATTTTCCAGGTATCGATACTAGCAATTGTCAACGACTATTGAACGACTTTCAAATACTTTTATTTTGGCCAGTTTTTAGAGCAATAATCTCAATTTTATAGTTGTTTTTAATTGATGACTTTTACAATAATCATCCCTACAATTACTCTCTTTGAAGTACGTTTTCATTCATGCAATTTATTCAACCACATTGGGGCATTATACATGGTTATCAAAATCACGATTCGGATCGTAGTCCTACAATCCTATATTGTCAAAACGATACACATCGTTGTAGGATCGGTGTTACAGTAGGATCATAAGTAGGATCGCTGGATTTATGATTTTTCACCTTAATTTTAGTATGTATCATTCTAATTTGTATTTTTACCTAGAAAGTAAAATCTTACGATCCTCGATCTGATCCACGAAACCCTCTCACAGATCCTATGTAGGATCCCAATTTTAACAACATTGGCATTATATGGAAGCAATGATTTTTCTTGACAGCTGATTTTGGTAAGTTGGATTAAAAATGGATTTACTTAACCTAGGTTTGAATGTATGCTATTAAATTGATGAGGTAATGTAACATTAAATTGATGTATATACATGGCGTCCAAGTCTAAAGCTCCACAAATCATTTGAGTGATAGTAGTTTTTATTTTATTTTATTTATTTTTTTTTTAAGGAACAAAATCCACTATTTAAGTGGTTATGTGGGTTTGATCAAAAAAAAAAAAAAAAAGGTTATATGGGAGTGTTATGCACTAGTATATATATATATATATTACTGAATGGATGTAGCAGAATAACTACTATATTAACAAATTCTTCTTCCTTTGTCTATATCATCAAATGATTTTTCTCTTTATATTTTCTATTTGTATTACGTGGCCTCTGATATCTGCCATTATACTAATAGGTGATTTGTCTTATCTTTTCACTAGTTCTTTGCCAAACTTATTAAAAAAAATAAAAAAGGGAATTTGTTTACTGAAGTGGTTTTCTTCATAAAAATATGCAGTAGTAGTTAGGAACTAGTGACAAACTTGGCTTGTGTGTTCTATTCCCATCCTTGGCAGAATTTGCCTATGAATATTTAGTGCTTTATTTTTATTATTTATTATTAAAAAATATTTGTTGTAGCACAAATTTTTAGTAAAACTTGGATGACTACTTGGGGTACACTATTTGAATCTTATTTTATCATGCAACATTTCATCTTGATAAAATTTTATTTTTTCTTAGCTTGTGGGTTCAAAAGTTCCGCATGATTTGATTGATTTATTGATAACAGGATTATCCTTGAGTTCTTTTGTGTTTTGCAGATTGAAGGTGCAGGTTCAAATTATTGGCACCATTTATCAGTTAGACAATGGTTTTCATTGCAATTTCTCAAGATCCAACTAGAAGATAGCCTAGATGGACATAAAGCAGTCTTCTCAATTTGAGTTAGAAATATGTCTGATAGAGTGCCAATTTTAGCAGTTGGTTTGAAATGGGCCTCTCTCTCCATTTGGAGCTGCTTTGTTCTGTTTCATCAAGCCCTCTATTTTACCTTGATCGCATTGGGCTGCAGATGATGATAGTTTTGCTGTACCCTTATCAGTAAGCCCATTCTAATCCAGTTGTTTTCTTGGCTATACCAACAAACCACAAGTCTATAGTTCAGAGTTGCCTTGGAAAGATCTACTATTTGGTTTTGATATTCTCGATTTCTCAAAATGGATTCTTGGACTCATTGTGGTTTAAAATACAAACTACCTTTTGCCATGGACAAAAACTCCAAGCTTCTTTTTCATTTGATACCTTAACCCCATTTTGAGAATCGGTCATCTAAGTTTGTAGTGTTGAATTCCAGTATTTTTCTCATTAAATGCTTTTTGTCAAAATCTTGAATTTTTCATTTCTCTTCTTTTTGAAAGGCATGAACGCCAAGTGACTTTTTTGGATTGATGTCTTCATTCATTTCGAAAGGAATATATAGATGAAAAAGTAAGAGAGTTTTGCCATAATGGATGAGAGCATCTAGTGTGAAAAACACAATGGGCTTCATCACTGAAAATTTGGATGATGGATTCTCAAATTGGGATTAAGGTATCCAATGAAAAAAAAAAAAGATTGTGAGGTTGTGTCTGGCTACTTTCCATTGGAGAGTCTGCTTTTGATTTAGCATAGGTTGAAGCAAAGATGAGCATAATGGTTTACAAATCAGAGGATGTAAATTATATGGATTTATTGTTTTTGACTGTTTGATAAAATTCATTGTAAATATTGTACTTTATGATTTGTTATCATTTTGATATATGTAAATTATTTATTTGTTTACTAGATATCAGAAAAGTTAATTATTTGAATGTGGGAACTTACAGAATTTTGTTTTCCATTCATTTTTTTTTTCTTTTTTCTATTTTGGTACATCGGAAAGTGAAAAAGACAACAAACAAATGACAAAAAACAAAACAAACAGATTAGGAACCAGGATTGCCCTGCCTAAGGTAGCTTTGCCCAATCATGTCCGTTACAACTTGACTGCGGATCCTATCTAGGGGGTCTTCCATGACAACAAGATGTTCATCTTGATCTACACCCGTCTTGGCCAGACCATCGGCACTCATATTTCCCTCCCTCAAGACGTGTTGAAGAGTGTAGCCACATCTTCGGATGAGAAACTTCGAATCCCCCACCAAGCTGCGCAAAGAAGAAATAACCTCCACTTGCTCCTTCAGCATGTCAAGGGCTTCCATAGTGTCAGTCTCTATGATCAGATCCTTGTAGCCCTTTTCAAAAGCAATTGTCAAGCTGCGATAAAAGGCCCAAATTTCTGCCTCAATGCTTGAACTGTTAGTAAGCTTCCTGTAGAAGCCACAAATCCAAGTTTCCTTCTCATCGCGGACCAGACCTCCAAAGCCACCATCTCCTGGGTCACCTTTGGAATCCGTATTCATCTTCAAAGTTCCTGAAACAGGAAGAGTCCACACAACCAGCCTATCAGACAAAGGAAGAGCAAAAGAGTGTTTAAAAGCATCTTTAATATCAGAAGCATCTTTAATATCAGAAGCATATCTCTGAATAGTGAAGATGCTGTGTTGCCAAGAAGTGTTAATGTTTTCAAAAATAAACTGATTTCAGTTTTTCCAAATTTGCGATGAAGTGGCAACAAAAATGGTAGGGCCAATAACAAAAGAGTACTTAAAATAGACTCTAGCCAAGCATCGAAAGTAAGATGTCTGCAGTTAAACAACCAAGTTGGACAGTTTAAATTAAACCAAATAGTACGGGCTTTAACAATTTCTGAAAATATGATCAACATTCTCAATTTTGTCATCACAGCTCACACACATAACAGAGTTTGACAGCCCCCTCGTGACTCTTAATTTATTAGTCAGCAACCTTCGATGCACAGCTAACCAAATAAATCCCTTGTGTTTTTGAGGAAGCTTCAATTTCCAAAGCCAAAGCCAATTAACAGAATCAGCCTCTTGAGCATTCACCAAGTCATAAGCTGAAGCAGTAGTAAAAGTACCACTACTAGAGCCTTTCCAATGTGGTAAATCAGGAAAGGTAACAAATCTAGGGAGTTGAACCTTTAAAATAAGGTCCAGAGCCTCCCTAGGCAAAGTGATGGAGATTTTATCAATAGCCCACCTTCCTTCCTCATCCAAGATAGTCTCCACCTTATCAAAATTGATGAGGTGAGAATAAGGAAAAAGAGAAGCCAAAGGACTTTCACCACACCACCAATCAAACCAGATAGAGGCCTTAGACCCATCACCAATGCTCCATTTACAGCCTTTCATAATAGTATCTCGGGTTCTCAGAATACCCCTCCCAAGTGTGGGAAGCCCTTATTTTACTTGAATAGTTAATGGGAAGTCTTGTCTCTGGGTCACTGTTTTGAAAGCTTCCATTCATTTTTGTTATGCCTTTTTCTTTAGGGGTTTCCAAATTAGATGAGCAGTTTTGATTTATAACATAGTCGTTGAGAGTGATGCTGTCTCTTTCTTAAACAGCTATCACTCATTCAGTCAACTAATAAGCCATTGATAGCTTTTTTCTCTATTGAATGGAATCCCTAATCTTCTTATCTTTCTCAATTCATCAATGGACATCAAGACATTACTTTTATTTCATTAAAATTTTAATTAATTTTCTTCATTTTCAATTTATATCTTTCTCTATATTGTAGGAGTGCCTTGTCCAAACACGAGAAGTTTGTAACTTGTTATCGGACAGATGAAATTAGATACAGAATACACAGATTTGAGGCAAAATGTTCACATCTGTAATTGCAAATATGTTGAGGGTTTAGGGAATATGTCTCACATTTATGCATTCTGTGGTTGGTTCTTCTGCATGGTTCTTCTGCACATAAACATTTCGAACCTAAACATGCATGATCATTTTATAACATATTTAATATATTTTGCACACATTTACAATCACAGTAATTAGTTAGTAATCCCAAAGTATTATGTAACCAAACACGTGGGGTTGAAATATATATGTAAGATTATGTACAGAGAAAAATATAAACATAATATCCTTATCAGTCACTTTGAATATACAAGGAACTATTGATTTATTGAATTCAATACAATACCCCATTGATTTTACTCTCTAGTTGCCTTGGTAATGTTGCAGACAGAAAGAATATACACAAAAGATCTCTTTCTTTGTGGCAAGTCAAAAACATTTCAGAATATTCTAATGCTCTTCTTGGTTTATGAGATAAAATAGAATAAAATGTTAAGTAGATGTTTGAAAAGTTATCATTTTACTAGGCTATTTTAGTAGATTAAAATTTTTATATTTGAGAAGATAATTGAATTTTTTTGTAATTGGATATAATGTTCCTAAAAAAGAAGTGAAATGATTATAAATTTGATGTGACATTTATCTTATTAGTCATTTTAGCTTATTTTATCTTTTTGTGAATTTTAACTAAAAAAAGGCTAAAATTCAACTTGCCAAACACCCCCTAATTCTTTATATTTTCTTATAGAATAATCATTACCTTAAAATGGTAAAAGATGATTGTATTTGTAATGCATTGGTCATTTTTTTTTTAGTCTAATCAAACAATGAATGAATATTTTAATAAAATAATTATTACATCACACTGGAATGAACCAAACACTGAGAATAAATTTGTTTGCCATGTAGACTCAGTGGCTTGGCTTGAGCATAATTATTTTATCAGTAATAATATCTAAAATCCTTGTTTGAAAAAAAAAAAAAAAACACTTAAAAGAATCACATACATCAGACTATGAGGACAACTTATTGCTCAGCAACAATAAAATGCTTAGCCCAATGCCGACTTTGGAAAACTTTGCAGCTTGACTTGGAATTAAAAATTAAAATTAAGATTGTTAACTGAACACGGGTGGCTGAATTCCAAAGAAGCAAACATCACAAACACCCAACAGGTTCATCCTATGAATTTGTTATCCATTTATAAATTATAACTCAAACACTACGAAGTAGTTTCTAATGACCACAAAGGTAAACGTCGTAAACCTGTGGTCTTCACATGCGGCTCTTCTTCAACTTTCTCGTCATTAGAAAGGAAAGCACTGACGATATCAAACCACCCCAACAACATGTATTGAATCAACCCAACCATTTGCAATCTGTAAGTCAAAAGCTAACGTGATCGCAGAGGGAATGGCATTGTGAAATCAAAATCGCAGAGTGTATGAAATATTTGATTTTGTAGAATCTGATTAGAGTCTTTTTTGGGGCATCTTGTTCACATGGTGAGCAGGATATGAAATTGTAGCAGAGCAACAGAACAATAAAGTGCGAGCAAAATATTAAATTTTAGTAGGGAAACAAAACCAGAAGCACATACAAAGCGCTAGAAAGAAGTAAAAACAAAATTAAAGCTTTAACCAAGAACACTCTAGACAGCATACTCAGTGGTTTTAGTCCTTGTTGAGATAAAATTTATACATATTCCAATATAGCTCCAACCCAATACATTTGGAACTTCCATTTGTAAGAGCTTTATCATTTCCTTGTACCTGTTCATATTATGATCATGTAATGTGTTGTGTATATAAATCACATACATAATACATATCAATGTGTGAGAAACACTTTGCTTCAGTTCTATTTCTATTTAACAGTTTGAAATAATTGTTCAAAAACTATCCTAAACTGCTATCACAAATAATTTAGAGAGGAAATTCATTAAAAATCAAAATTAAGATTGTTAACTGAACACGGGTGGCTGAATTCCAAAGAAGCAAACATCACAAACACCTAACAGGTTCATCCTATGAATTTGTTATCCATTTATAAATTATAACTCAAACACTACGAAGTAGTTTCGAATGACCACAAAGGTAAATGTCGTAAACCTGTGGTCTTCACATGCGGCTTTTCTTCACCTTTCTCGTCATTAGAAAGGAAAGCACTGACGATATCAAATCACCCCAACATCATGTATTGAATCAACCCAACCATTTGCAATCTGTAAGTCAAAAGCTAACGTGATCGCAGAGGGAATGAGCATTGTGAAATCAAAATCGCAGAGTGTATGAAATATTTGATTTTGTAGAATCTGATTAGAGCCTTTTTTTGGGCATCTTGTTCACATGGTGAGCAGGATATGAAATTGTAGCAGAGCAACAGAACAATAAAGTGCGAGCAAAATATTAAATTTTAGTAGGGAAACAAAACCAGAAGCACATACAAAGCGCTAGAAAGAAGTAAAAACAAAATTAAAGCTTTAACCAAGAACACTCTAGACAGCATACATAAAGTCTTGGACAATATATCATTCAGTAAATCATATGCTAACATGAATTGACATCTCATAATCGCAGAGAATAAGCAACAATGCATATAAACAGAATAAGTTTGAGTAAATTGTCAAGCACATGGTGTGCAAGGTATATAACAACAAAAACCTAAAATCAATACGAATTTCTGCAAACAAAGAAAACAAAACAAAAAAACATAATGTCTATGGTAAATTAAATGCATACCTGATTGTAGACACAAGTCGAATTCCGATTCGCTAGACGATAGCTAGATAAAGTTGATTTTTGAGAGAGATAAATGCACAAAACTTTAGGTATAGGATTAATATGATAGAGAATTAAATTGCATAAGAAATACAACATATAGGTACTTATAGGCATAAAATTAATGTGATGGAGGATTAAATTTCATGATAATCAAAATAATCAATGTTTTAGGGCTTTGTCCATTAGTCATGTTGATCCGGAAACAACTCAGACATATTTTTTGCTTCAAAAATTTTCAACCTTGAATACACTTGTGATGGAACTGTCTGTTGGAGAAGTTGAAGTTGTGACTATTATCTTCTCTCTACCTCAACCTAGAATGGGGAGTTCCTCTATATGTATTTATATAATTCCAAGTTTTTTGGTGGTAAAATTAAATTAAATGCAGCTTATCCATTAACAAAATTCCCACAGCCTATGATTATTGAGTTCATAGGTATTCAAGACAATAAATTGGACTTATTAATTGATTTCTATTATGGGACATCAGTCTTCCTTTCATATCTTATTAATCAAGCACTAATGCACCAGTGACCATATGCTGTACATGTTCATCAAGAGGCCCTTTCATTATACCCTCCCCTTCCCCAGCCAAAAAATAATAATTATAAAATGAATATATATATATATATATATATATGCTTAGGACTTGGAATCTGATCTGATACAAAAGTTTTGAGTTCATTTTCAAATTTTGTTTTCTAAATTTTTTTTAAAAAATAAAAATTAATTTGACAAAAATAAACTCCAAGAAGATATTTTCAAATTTGTAAAAACTAATTCAGCCCTCAAAAAAGACAAAATCATGTGAAAATGATGAGTATTTTTTCTTTTCTTTTTTTCATTTTTTACACCAAATTAGTTTTTAGTTAAAACTGGTTTTGAAAACCAAACCAAACAGATGTGGAATTGGAAGGGGGCTTCCAAGGATCATCGACATTGATTGACAAATTAATCTAGGAAAACAATTTACAACGAAATACATGAAATGTGAGGATCTGTTCAGCAGCATATACAAATACATAATATATAGAGAGGGTAAATGGTATAGAGATGACCTGTGGGGAACATCTGGTTGATGTACTCCAAAGCACTCGATTTGTCCATTGCCCTTCAAACAAACCAAAATTTGCAATCTCTCTCTCTTGTTCCAAACTGAATCTAAAGACTCTGGGCTGAAGATGCCCTGGTAATAAACAGGGTTGGCCCTGAGTTCTCTAGGTCAACTCCTAAAATGAGGCACTCTCTATATAATCACACCCCAAAAAAATGACAATTGTTAAGTAGATAAAATGATAAATATCCACACAAAGTCTGCTTTCACATATAATCACTAAAACTATATATTAAGATTTATTGAAAACATATGAAGATATGAAAAATTATTACAAAACTCAAAACATAAAAATCTGGCCTGGTTGAAAAATTATAACTAATTATTTTACTTTTTGCTCCTTTTTTATTTTTTTATTTTTTTTGCATCCAGAACTGTAATTTCTAAGAAGCAGGATTATATAAATTAGCTTGGGTTGTGGACCTGTGGTCTGTCTAATAGTAATCAGTAATGCAAGGATCTGCAGAATGGACTTGTGTTGTTTCTATAAAAAAATGAATATTGCACCTGAATGAATAAAAAACTAAGCCCAAAAAAAAAAAACAATGGTTCATATCACTGTGATTTTACAAAACAGACGCACATTGTTCATAGCAGTCTTATTTTTCTAGCAAAACAGTAACAAAATTATATTCAACCTTTCCAATTACTTGTAAAAGACAGAAGCCATTAATCAAACATTAAAGAGAATTGCGCATCCGGATTTTGGTTAAACCCTCTGTAATCAAAAGAATATAAATTCATATATGTATAATTTTTTACAAATACTACTAGATTAGGCAAAGCCCTCAAATTAAAAAAAAAAAAAAAAAGATCGATTGAATAAATAATACATGGAAGATCGCATCCTTAATGAGAGGGAAAGAAGAGAGACATGACATCACTTGTCTTTTGTTTGGTTTTGACAATAACTTAGAAAGTGAGGGAAAGTTTACACCTACAATAGACAAATATCAAAACTCTACCTTATGGTTATCACACGAAGTAATTAATGTGGCCTACTATTTAATTAATCTCATCATCAACTTATATAATTGCTAGCGCGTACACAGACACAAAACAGCTCTTCCTTAGAGAGTCATTAACTCCAATGAGCCCACCATAACTGGGGTTAGCTCTAGCCACATGTTCTTTTCACAATTATTTTTATGGCGTCACACACAGAAAATAAAAGGAAAAACTACGGAAAATTCAAAAATTATCCGAAAATGAAATGTATGATATTGTTTCAAACTTAGTATGGTGTGGACATACGCATAATGCATATGGTCCACACATTTCATTTCGAGGTAGTTTTTCTGGGTGCATGGTATTGCTATTATGTCACATGCTCTCTCTATCTCTCTCTCTCTCTCTCTATTTTAATTTTGTTTTACTTTTTTCATTTTGTGTTAGCATTCATTCTTACATCTATCAATTGTATGTATGGTGATATTCCCCAACTGCAAATTCCCAGCCTGATTTTGAATGAAAATTAATTTTCTTTTCTCTTCTCTACAATCTAACTTTTCATTTAATTATTTATCTTTTAGTTTCACTGCTTTTCAAAATGGTACCATTGATATGAACATTTCTGCATTTTTCACCAAACTTTTGTTGAAGAAGTGACTGAATTCTATAAATTCCACAAACTTATTCTGATTTGACTTGTATTGTAGCATTGTGGATCCAAATTTTGCAAATGCATTGCCAAGTAATTTGATTGATTTTTATGTTAAAAAGATTAAGGCGGAAGAATAAACTCGGAGTATACGATAGTATTAATTACTCTACGTAATCTCAAATTTGCTATTGAAAGATTGTGTTTTAGTAGTGGTAACAGCTTGTTTAAGGTTGTCAAAATCGGGATCCTATATTGGATCATTGGAGAGATTCACAGAATCGGATCTTTAAATGGGTTCAAGAATACTACTAAAAAAAAGGGAAAATAAACAAAACATAATAAATTTTATATGAATAAGCATTTATCAAAAAGTAGACACAAAATAAACCTAAATTACGCTCAAAAGAAGTGAAAATATTTTAAAAAATATAATGCACTATGTAAATTTCAACTTCACACATTAGAAAGTTTGATAATTGATAGTGTTGCATGATTTTTTAATTCACCAATTAGTGCTATCTACTAGTGTTTTTGGCATTTGACACCATATGTGAAAAACAAAATCCATAAAGACCTTTTTGTTTATGCCTAGATAGCATGGAACATCACTAATTATCAGTTTGATCATTTCAGAAGGAGCTGGGAACATAGGATCTAAAGACAGTTCTCACAAAACTCGACAGACTATTGAGGTTGTTGGCATTATACTCGGTCTTGGTGTTCTGCTATTGGGTTTTGGTATATTTTTTGTATGGAAGAAAAAGATAATGCAGAAGGCAGGTACTCAATTGAAAGACAGAGCATAAAGGTACTAATAAGCTCATACTATTTTTCCATACATGTTGAAAAAAGCTACGCATAAGCAACAATGCATATAAACAAAATAAGTTTGGGTAACATAAATTAATGGTTGATACTATTCTATATGAGGGAATGTGCCCATCAACATATCAGCAAATAAAAAAAAAAAAAATCAACAATTAAGCAAAGCAAATAAACATATTCAAAACAAAGACGAAGAGAACAAAAACTTGCACATAAGTAGAGTAAACAATCGGCTTAGTCTCGATCAATGATAGGAGCAACATACACAAAACACCAAACACATAATAGGCACCCCATACCTCAACCGCAGTAATAGAGGGAAGGATGACTGTCGAAGAATCGATCCCACATCGATTCTGCGCTTCACAGATTAAGCCTTTAAAGTGACCAATTTGAGGGTCCACCAGGCATACCGTGGAGGTGGGAGATTTGGTGATTTCACACGCATTTGCTAAACCCTAAACCCTCTCTCGTACTGAGAGATATTCTTACCAGCGGAGGGATGTTTCTCCGGTGTTTTCCCTTGTACTAAAAAACGAAACACCGATGCCACAGCGTGTGTAAATTCTCCATCGTTGATTTCATCTCTCGAGAGTGCTTGAAGGGAGTGTGCTGCCGACATCCGACACGTGTCTCGCGGTCACTTGTCCTGGCCTCTCGAACACCTCCATTTTGAAAATTTATCCTCTCAAAAATGTTACCCACCTTAGGATATTTAATAGAATATTTAAAATTTTTAATATTATTCTTATTCTTTTATTTTCTCAGCAGTGGTACATTTTCATAAAAATAGAGTTCTGTTTAAACAGAGCCTTATACATTTGGCAATGATTAAAAAAAAAAAAAAATGGCCTTTCAAATACTTTCATTTTTCACTGTGAAATCCATCCCATTAGAACTCCCAATCATTTTTTTTTATTTTCTATTATTTGCTCATTGATGCTTTCCATTTTGGATAAAGGTTTTTGTTTTTATTGTTGATAAATATGAAAATAATCTTGATCAATTTTGAGGGTAGCTCTAAATGCACTTTAAGAATTTGGTTGAGTACAATCCAAGCCTAAATTTAAGAGGTTGTTTGGGGGCATATTAAAGTAGTATATTTTATTTATTTATTTTTTTGATCATATCACCTTTTTTTTTATCATTCTTTTTGTAAAAAATTAAAAAGTACTGATATAGGTCGAAAGGTACCACATTGAAGTCGTTTAAGTTATATTTATAGTTTTTGAATTTTGTTTATTTGGCGAAAATAATGTGTTTTGTGTATTTGTACAGATTTGGCAAGTAACACGCAAATTCAGGCGAAAAATGGCACAAAAGCAAATTCTTTGCCCAAATAGTGAAAATTCTCGGCGTGCTACCTCACCGCACGTGTGGCTCACCACCGCTCAAGTAGAAATTGTGGGCGCTCGAGCGGCCCACCTAGGGACACGTGCCTGAAATTTTGAGCTCGTTCTGCTAATAATAAAAAAAAGA